TGTACGTAAAGAAAACTTCTTCTTCACTCTTTGCAATTTCTTATAAAAACTTTGAAATTTATTGCAATGATTTACACAAAAACTCCCTCGTATACATAAAATTAGTTGGATACTTTCGTACATTTCTACTTGTAAATAACATTTCGTTACAGAGTCTAGCCGCATTACCGAAGGATATTACGGTAAGTTCTGTGTAAATAAACCTCGCCCAGTACAAGTATGTTTGTGTTGTTCAAAAAATGTATATTCACCTGCATGGTTTTTGAAAAAAAAAAAAAAAATGAATCACTTTCCTTCTTCCAATGCAATAAAATACAATTTGCACAGTCCCTTGAACTAATAGCACATAGAAATTTTATTTTTTTTTCAAAGTTCGCAATCATTAACTTTTCCCAAACCCTTTTCAGGTGAAATTTATTATGGATCATGAAACTACACTCGCCGAACTTTTGGGTCTCAATCTGCATGAGTGCGAGGAAGAGGTCAAAAATATCGTCGACAAGGCGGTGAAGGAAATGTCGATGGAGAAAATTTTACGTGACTTGCACACCACTTGGTCTACGATGGAATTCGATCATGAACTGCATCCACGCACCGGCTGTAATCTCCTCAAGGCATCGGAGGAACTCATAGAGACTCTCGAAGATAATCAGGTCTGCTTACAAAATCTGATAACATCGAAGTACATTGCGCACTTCCTTGAGGAGGTGTCAACATGGCAGAGCAAACTGATGGTCGCCGATCAGGTGATCACCGTCTGGTTTGAGGTGCAACGCACTTGGACCCATCTCGAAAGTATCTTCATGAGTTCCGAAGACATACGTAAGCAATTGCCAGTCGACTCGGATCGTTTCGATCGCATCGACGCTGAATTTCGCATACTAATGGACGAGATGTCTGTATCGTCGAATGTTGTAGCATCGACAAATCGACCCGGGTTGATCGAACGCTTGGAACACCTGCAGAAGGAGCTTACATTGTGCGAGAAGGCACTGGCAGAGTATTTGGAAACGAAACGTTTAGCTTTTCCTCGTTTTTACTTTGTATCATCGGCCGATCTGCTCGATGTGCTGAGCAATGGCATTCAGCCAGATATGGTCACCAAACATTTGACCAAGCTGTTTGATTCTATAGCACGCTTAAAATTTAATCGCGACGAGTCGAACGAAATCGACACAGCTTCGGGTATGTATGCCAAAGATGGTGAATATGTGGAATTCAATGAATTGGCGAGTATACGCGGACCGGTGGAGGTTTGGCTGAATCGCATCCAGGCGGCCATGCGTGCCTCGCTACGTCATTACGTTTCCGAAGCTGTGGTCGCGTATGAGGAAAAGCAACGTGAACAATGGTTATTCGACTATCCTGCACAGGTGTCGCTCTGTGGATCGCAAATCTGGTGGTCCACGGAGGTGAACATTGCCTTCGGTCGTTTGGAGGAAGGTTACGATAATGCCATCAAGGACTACTACAAGAAGCAGATCTCTCAGTTGAGCTTGCTCATCACACTATTACTGGGTGAGCTGACCAAGGGAGATCGCCAAAAGATCATGACTATTTGCACAATTGATGTACATTCGCGCGATGTGGTCGCCAAAATGATCCAAGCCAAGCTGGATTCGGGTTCGGCGTTTATGTGGCAATCACAATTGCGACATCGCTACGACGAAGGTGAAAAGGATTGCTTTGCAAACATTTGCGACGCAGAGTTTCAGTATTCGCATGAATATTTGGGTAACACACCGCGTTTGGTCATTACACCGCTTACTGATCGTTGTTACATTACGCTGACGCAGTCGCTGCATTTGATTATGGGTGGTGGCCCAGCTGGACCAGCAGGTACGGGTAAAACCGAAACCACCAAGGATTTAGGACGGGCGCTGGGCATTATGGTGTACGTCTTCAACTGTTCCGAACAAATGGACTATCAGTCGTGTGGTAATATTTACAAAGGATTAGCGCAAACTGGTGCCTGGGGCTGCTTCGATGAATTCAACCGCATCACAGTGGAGGTGCTCTCCGTGGTGGCGGTACAAGTGAAATCTGTACAAGATGCGATACGCGACAAGAAAGAGAAGTTCAATTTTATGGGTGAAATGATCAGTTGTGTGCCCACGGTGGGTATATTCATTACCATGAACCCAGGCTATGCTGGTCGCACAGAGTTGCCGGAAAATCTGAAAGCACTATTTAGGCCTTGCGCTATGGTAGTGCCGGACTTTGAGCTAATTTGTGAAATAATGTTGGTGGCTGAGGGTTTTCAAGATGCCCGCGTGTTGGCTAGAAAGTTCATAACACTCTATACACTATGCAAGGAGTTGCTCTCCAAGCAGGATCACTACGACTGGGGACTGAGGGCAATTAAGTCGGTGCTGGTCGTTGCCGGGTCGTTGAAGGTAAGGACATTGGAGCATATATTTTGCAAGCTGATATCTCATCCGGTTTCTGGTTACATTAAAACACGGGACAGCTTCAAAATAATTTAAAAACTTTGCTGTAAAACGAATAGAATTCACTAAATCTTTAATAATGAATTCTAAACTAACTAAACTAAAAATAAAACTTATATGAAAGTTACTCTTGGATCTCGAAATCAAAATACATAGAGAGAATCCTCTCTCTTTAAAAATGTGATTTTTCCATGAATAAAAACCCCAACTTTTATTATTTTAAGCAACTACCGGTAATTTGTATAAATGAGGTTTCTGGATTAAGCGAAAATTTTCTGGGATATTTTTAAACTTTTCATGATTTTTTGTGTTTATCAATTTTAGGTTTTTCGGGACTTCCCCAAGTTTTCAGAAGCTTTTGGAATTCTTTTCGTACCGATATTTTCAGAACTTTTCGAGATATTTGGTGTTTTAGTTTTCCAAATATTTTTGGACGTTTTTTGGCACTTTTCTGGGGGTTTTCGAAAGTTTTTTGGACCTTCCAAGGTTCTTGGAATTTCTCGTGTTCTTCTTAAGTTTGTTTAAATAAGTGTAAAAACAAATTAGCGATTATCAGGCTAATGTGTCTCCTATTTGGGTCTTAGAAAAAGAAAAGCAAAAAATTATCGGTATCTCTTGCTCAAAATAATCAAGGTCAATACTTAGCTAAAATTATTTCTGTTATAAAATGCGGTCTCAGCTTACACAACGCTATTACCAACAAAGAGAAAAAAACGTTTTATAGAGTGTCGTCTGTATTTAAATTTAAAATGTGAAATATGTTCAAATCGTTATCAAATACGCCAAGTAAGTCCCCCGTGGGCATAGGAAAGTATTTTGTAGGTATCATTTTAGGAAAGCTTTTACCTAAAAATATTATTCAATAAAGGTATCCGATGTCAAAACAAGCAACATTTTTTCAGCCACGATCGTTGGTAAAATAAGAGTTTTGGCTTAGAACAAAATTACCTGCCACAATTTGGTATGAAATATCTTAAAATTAGTTGCTTGGCTGGTTAGAGAAGTTTGTCAACCCTGGGGACAATCCCTACTCAGCCACTTGGCGATTTTGATGAATTTCAGTATATCATACACAGAGCAGCCGCCCTCTGAAATGTTCTGCACGATTTGTTGGCCAAGTATAGACTTGCAAGGGCCGGGAAATCGCAAACTGAATTTGTATTTGTAGGTATTTTCCCGACTCATTACATATGGACATAGTGCTGGCTTTAAGTTGGTTTTACGAGTTTTGATTTATACGATACCGCAAGACAACACTAACTAATTTTGGTGTGCCAGGTGTTGAGCTATCCTATATAGATTTTTTTATAGAAGCTTCCACTTAGACTTCAATTAAAGTTTGAACTATCGACTACGATCCCTGAACTACCGTCCCTGCACGTCTGGTTTTCATATTGGCGTCCTTCTATTCCTAAGTCCTCTACAAGTTGCAACCTAGATGAGGAAGAGGAGAGCGCCTGGCTATCGGAGAAAATGTTCAGCTGCAATCTCGCAGTTGCATGGTGTTTTATATACTTTACCTCCTCCGCTTAGAAAACGCTTGCGGAGTCTGACAGGCAATAGGATATCTTCTGATTGAGTTTTTTAAAGAAAATCTCCACACTTACCCCGCATTCCATCTTTATTCCGTTGGAAAAGAGAGCCATGCTCTCAGAGCACATTGTGTCTTCCCGAATCCAGTCACTGTGTCATGGAAATTCCTTGCAGGGTTTGTGTTTGATCTTGGGTTTTGGTATCAGAGTCCAGATGGACACTTTGCACGAATGACCTTTATTTTGCTTTGGCTTTATCCCGCAATCTGATCAGTATTTTGACCACTACGAAAAGCTGAGTGTACAATATATGCCTTCCAGACCTGTATTTTGGCTGCTTGCTCCCCAATGTTCAGCCTCCAATCAAGTTTGAGATTTAGAAGAACTCCTACCTATTTCAACCTATCTGACAGATCAAATTCTAAATGTAGGTTTCGTAAAATGATTAAATGTTTCTTTTTTGTAAAGTTCGTTAGGTCAGTTTGGATTCATACTAATCGAGAATCTACTAATTGCGTTTATAACGCCGATTCACGTATGTATACATCTTCGGCATAAGACTTGGTTTCTTTCCCTACTTCTGTCTATAGAATTTACACTGAAATTTAAAAGGCACCCTCAATATCTATAAAGGAAAGCATGGTAAACTGTTTGTGGTAGAACGGGCTCATAATCGAGCAAACATATTAGCGTAGGTTCGTTAATCTGGTCGACCTATCTCTGATAAGCAGATCTATGATCCTTTCGAATGTCTTTAGTACGAAACACTTTAGGATTAATAGTCCGAGACTGTTATCATTGTCGTGACCACATTACCCTGCTTAGAGTTAAAAATTAAATTAAAAATCCTCCGGCTTGGCGGAATATGAATTATTATCAGAACCGCAACGAGAACCTTTGAAGCTTATTGAAGCAGTATTGATAATACTCCGGCCATGCCCGATGATTGATAGGGAGAAAAACGGAAACAGTTTTTATCTCTTCTGCATCCAGAAGCTCTTTTAAAGGTCCTCATATGGAGGTGATGGAGTATTTAGAGCAGCGATCTTGAGTTCGTAGGACGACTTGGTCCATATCTTGGCTGATAGTGTTCTTTTGTGAGGATTCTGTTGAGCGTAGCAGACTTTTTGAAAACCTCGACGAATTCGCAGGAGTAAGCCCAGTCCATACTTCTGTAATAGACTTACCATCATTTACAAATCAAATTTATCACCCACAATCTTTGCTTACAGCGCGGCGATCCTGGTCGTCCCGAGGAGGAGGTGCTCATGCGCGCCTTGCGTGACTTTAATATACCCAAAATCGTCACAGATGACATGCCTGTCTTTATGGGTCTCATAAGCGATCTATTTCCCGCTTTGGATGTACCACGAAAACGCGATCAAGATTTCGAACGTACGGTTAAGCAGGCCGCTTCCGATTTGCTACTACAACCAGAAGACAATTTCATATTGAAAGTGGTACAGTTGGAGGAGTTGCTAGAAGTGCGCCATTCCGTTTTTATTGTCGGCAATGCCGGTACTGGCAAGACACAAGTGTGGAAAACACTATTGCGCACCTATCAGAATATCAAAAGAAAACCAATTTTTAATGATTTAAATCCAAAAGCTGTGACCAACGATGAACTCTTCGGTATCATCAATCCGGCGACACGTGAATGGAAGGATGGCTTGTTTTCTGTGATAATGCGAGATCAAGCAAACATAACGGGTGATCAGCCCAAATGGATTGTGCTCGATGGCGATATCGATCCCATGTGGATTGAAAGCTTGAATACCGTTATGGACGATAACAAAGTCTTAACTTTGGCCAGTAACGAGCGCATTGCGCTGACGCCTTCGATGCGCTTGCTTTTTGAGATTTCCAATTTGAGAACAGCCACTCCAGCAACAGTCTCCAGGGCGGGTATACTCTATATAAATCCGCAAGATTTGGGTTGGAATCCGTAAGTTTGAGAGAGAGCAGATGAATGCAAATTTTACTAATTAATGAATGTTTTTTTTATATTTTATTACCAAAGTTATGTCAGCAGTTGGGTGGAAACGCGCAAGATACCATCCGAGAAGTCTAACTTAGTCATGTTATTCGATAAATATATTCCAGCCTCACTGGAGACGATACGCACACGCTTCAAGAAAATCACGCCTATCGCCGAAATGGCACACATACAAATGTTATGTCACTTGTTGGAATGTTTCTTGACGCCTACGAACACACCAGCCGATTGTCCAAAAGAATGGCACGAACTGTATTTCGTTTTTGCTTGTGTTTGGGCATTCGGATCGGCTATGTTCCAGGATCAAGCGATCGACTATCGAGTCGAATTCAGCAAATGGTGGGTAAATGAGTTCAAAACTGTTAAGTTTCCGCAAGGTAAGCATACGAATCGCAAAGAAATGGAGCTTGTTTGACAACAATATATGCTAAACAAAATATTTTTTCTCTCATACAAATTTCCTTAAATAAAAAGGTGGCACCGTCTTTGACTACTTTCTTGATACCGAAACCAAAACCTTCCTCCCCTGGACCGAAAAAATACCAAAATTCGAATTAGAGTCCGATCTACCGCTGCAAGCAGTGTTGGTGCATACCTCTGAATCTATACGCGTACGCTTCTTCCTCGAATTACTTATGAATATGCGACATCCCGTCATGTTGGTTGGTACCGCCGGTTGTGGTAAAACGGTACTCGTCAATGAAAAACTACAGGCACTCAATGAGAATTATGCGGTCACTACGATACCCTTCAACTACTACACCACCTCAGAAATGCTGCAGAAGATATTGGAGAAGCCACTGGAGAAGAAAGCGGGCCGCAACTATGGCCCACCAGGTAATAAGACGCTCATCTATTACATTGACGACATGAATATGCCGGAAGTGGACTGCTACGGTACGGTACAACCGCACACTATTATTCGTCAACATTTGGACTATGGACATTGGTATGATCGCAACAAGTTGTCGTTGAAGGATATACACAACTGTCAGTATGTGGCATGCATGAATCCAACAGCTGGTAGTTTTACCGTCAATCCACGTCTCCAGCGGCATTTCTGTGTGTTGGCTGTGAGCTTTCCAAGTGGTGATTCGATCACATCGATCTTTGCAACGATCTTGTCACAGCATTTTGCAAATGCTGAACAAAAGTTTAATCCGATAGTGACGCGCATGACATCTAACATTGTTGCCGCAACACTGGCGCTGCATAACAAAGCTACACAAATATTCTTACCAACAGCCATAAAGTCGCATTACATCTTCAATTTGAGAGACATTAGCAATGTGTTTCAAGTAAGTGATTGCGATTTTGTATATTGTGTAGGAATAAGTGAGTATTTTTAATAAAGTGGGCTCGTATTTAATTTAATTAATTTCCATGTAATTAAAACATAGTCATGTGGAGCTAGAGAAATCAAAAAATCACATCCTTATTTCCCCATGCCTTTGTTCTAAAAAAAAATAATAATAAAACTGTAGATAAAATAGATGACCTCTTGATTCACTTACGTCATAAAATAAGAAGGCGTGAGTGCGAGCTACAGTTACACACATAAATAGGTTAGGTTAGAAATTGAAAGTTAATTTAATTTACGATTTGTATATTTGGAGCTTTTCGGCCGTTGATTTTAAAGCAAAAACGTTGGTTTTTCTTTTCTGCCTCCTACGCGTTTCGACACATTATTGTGTCTTCCTCAGGGAGTCTATTTATTTTTACAAGAAAACATAATTAACAAACGTGTATACCAAAACATGTTTTTCAAACATACCTTAACATATAATAACATAAAATCACATTAATTATTTTATGGACATCACTTTTTTGAATTAACACTTAACATTTAAATACATCAATACTTTATCCCAGCTGTTCGTCTATTACTCGCTATTATCCTTGTGTATGCGCAATTTATATTATCTACATCTTCTTTGTAATTCATTGCACAGTGTATTTGTTGCTGTATTCGAAGCCCTTCTAATGTCATCCTTTTCTTTGTTTTCCTCTCGATGTCTACTATTCTTGCATTATCAAAATCCGCTGTGTGTTCGCTTTTTGTCAGGTGCCGATTTGCTGATAGGCTTGTCACCACGGAAGAGCCAATTTTTTGAGTCGATTTTGACGATTTTCCACTACCAGAAATTTTTTTTTTAGCTTTTTTTGCTTTCTTCGTGCTTACAGGCTCTTCATTGACAATCTATATCCAAACCTGAGTGCGCTGTCGCCCCTTAAAACATCGATTTTGTATTTATATTAGAGCAATGCGGTCAAAGGCCTGTCTGGCCACAAAAACGGCAGTTTTCTCAACCTCACCTAACCACCAAGTTAAACGCATTTGAAACTCGCTCTAGAGCTTCTAGTGTTTTAACCATTTCTACTGAGAGCTACCACACCATACTCAGATAACAGAAAACCACAGCCTTTGTAGCTCTTTTAGGATACGGATATCAGCAGGGCAGATATGTTTCCGACGCGCATTGAGAAAATATTTTTCTCACTTTATAAAAGAAAAATATGGTTTTTAAACTTCAAGTATTCGAACTTATATTTTTTCTTCAATTAATTTAATATTTTCTGCAATTTCTTTAATTTAAATTTTTCTTCAATTTAATTTAACTATATGATTTTATTGTTTTAAAACGATTTTTTTAATTTCTTCTAAGTGTAGGATCTTACTTTGTTTTTTTTTTTAATTACATTTTTTTAAATCTACTTTTTTAATTTTTACATTAAATTATTAAAAAAAAAATTATAATTTTTTTGAATTTTTTCGAAAGACAGAAAAGAGCTCTCACGATAGTAGTCAGAATTTAATTTTTAGAAACCTATTTTTTATTTTACAATTTAATTCTTTTATTTATTTTTTTCAATTTTTAAATTATATTATTTAAAATAAATATTTTTTTAAATTTTATTTAATACTTAGGAACTTATTTCATTCCTTTCTTTTTTTAACCGACTTCCAAAAAGGAGGAGGTTATCAGTTCGTTGGAGTATTTTTATTTTATTTTGTGTATGTTACCGGATAACTTTGGACCATGTCAACCCATTTTGAATCTCAGAGGTAGTGTCTCGGAGGTGGTTCCGTACTAATCTGGTTTAGATCCGATCATTGGATCATGAAACAGTTAACAGTACTCCTAAAGTTTTATATGAGAATTGAGGTCGGTTTTGTACTGAGCATCTTTATCTCCAAAGCTAATCTCTTTTTAACATTTCAGGGCCTCCTATTTAGCACAGCCGATTGTTTAACAAGTTCATCTGATCTCATACGGCTATGGCAACATGAGACCCAACGTGTTTATGGTGATAAGCTGATTGACGAAAAAGACATCGATAGTTTTACCAAGATGCAGCATGATATTGTGAAGAAGTCTTTCGAGGAGATTGACGAGTCAGTGATATTTGATAAACCCAATATATACTGTCATTTCGCTGGAGGAATTGGTGAACCCAAGTACATGCCCGTCATGGGCTGGACTGAGCTTCACAAACTCCTTCAGGAAGCAATGGCATCGTACAACGATCTCGTGGCGGCTATGAATTTAGTGCTCTTCGAGGATGCCATGATGCATGTGTGCAGGTAAAATTTTAACATTGAAGAAAAGTCATATTTTTTAACAAAAAATCAAATAACTGTTGTGTATTGCAGAATAAATCGCATATTAGAGTCACCGCGAGGCAGCGCGCTGCTGGTCGGTGTCGGTGGCAGTGGTAAGCAGTCATTATCACGCTTAGCCGCTTTCATATCCAGCTTGGAAGTGGTACAAATACAACTCAAAAAGGGTTATGGCATTAATGATTTGAAGGTATGCATGTTAATAGAAGAGAAATCGTGCTTTGCTTAGATGAATTTCTTAAATTTCACGCCTTTTTACCGCTCCCCAGAATGAATTTTCCGGTTTGTATCTGAAAGCCGGTTTAAAGAATGTCGGCATAATGTTCCTCATGACCGATGCACAAATACCCAGCGAGGATTTTTTGGTGCTCATCAATGACATGCTCTCTACTGGTGAGATTCCCGATCTCTTCCCAGATGATGAAATCGAAAACATTATCGCAGGCGTGCGAAACGAAGTGAAAGGCGCTGGAATGGTAGACTCACGCGAGAATTGTTGGAAATTCTTTATAGATCGCGTACGCAAGCAATTGAAGATTGTGCTTTGTTTTTCGCCCGTTGGCTCGACGTTGCGCGTGCGTTCACGTAAATTTCCCGCAATCATAAATGCCACGTCCATCAATTGGTTCCATGAATGGCCACAAGAAGCGCTTATTTCGGTGGCAATGAACTTTTTGTCCCTGAATAAAGTCTTACCCGAGACTCATCGTGACTCCGTGGCTAAATTTATGGCTTATGTGCACACCTCAGTAAATGCCACCTCGAAAGTGTACCTACAAACCGAGCGTCGCTACAATTACACGACACCGAAGAGCTATCTGGAGCAGATTAGTCTCTACTTGAAATTATTGAATCACAAACACGACGACTTACAAAGTAAGATCGTACGCTTGGAGAATGGTTTGGAGAAGTTGCGTTCCACGGCTGTGCAAGTGGCAGATTTAAAAGTGAAGTTAGCTGTACAAGAAGTAGAATTGAAGGAGAAAAATGAAGCTGCCGACGCGCTCATCGAAATCGTTGGCATCGAAACGGAAAAGGTGCAAACCGAGAAGGCGGTTGCCGATGAGGAGGAGATGAAGGTGGCGCTTATAGCCGACGAGGTTAGCAAAAAACAGAAAGACTGTGAAGAGGATTTGCTGAAAGCAGAGCCTGCTTTGACTGCAGCGCAGGAAGCGCTCAACACCCTAAACAAGGCAAATTTAACCGAGCTCAAGTCGTTCGGCTCACCACCCGGCGCCGTGACTAATGTAACCGCAGCGGTCATGGTGCTGCTAGCACCTGGTGGCAAACTACCCAAGGATCGTTCATGGAAAGCGGCTAAAATATCGATGGCCAAGGTTGATGCATTCCTTGACGCTCTCATCAATTACGACAAAGAAAATATCCATCCGGAAATTATAAAAGCCATACAACCGTATTTAAAAGATCCCGAATTCGAGCCGGAATTCGTACGCTCCAAGTCGGGCGCTGCAGCGGGTCTCTGCGCTTGGGTCATAAACATTATCAAATTCTACGAGGTATACTGCGATGTAGAGCCCAAACGTAAGGCACTGGCAGCAGCGAATGCTGAGTTGGCTGCAGCTCAGGAGAAGTTATCGGGCATTAAGCGAAAAGTTGCGGTGAGTAGTGATCATTTGTGTTTTTGTTGAGAAACAACTTGGTTAGGGTAGGATAAAATTTTGGCAAGTTTAATATTCGTATCAATCGTACAACATGCCTATCAGCTTCATAAAATCTTGTTGGTAAGATTGAGCGGAGATTTTTTAGAATTAATGAATTCATAATTAATGGTAGCTTTTTACAACTACACTAATGGTTTGACCTTGCCGGTTGGATTAGGTGAGAATACCATTTAAGGATGGAAGCAGGTCACCTAGTTACCGATCTACTATAACAAATCTTTATTTGGTTACAGGTCTTCTTTGATCCACGTGTAGTTAAAGAACCTGCGACGTGCCTTCTCTGTATGCCATTTTCCTTCTAGGTCTGATGTCCCAGTTTGCCCACTGACTGCTTTAGAGAAATGTTACTTTTCCCCTTGAAAAAATGGTTGTAGCAGTTTATCCCCGTGAGCATTATTTCTTTGCACAGCATCTGCATAATTCCTGTGGAGCTTATGGTTATAGATTTAAGGACGCTTGCTATCTAATTAGGGGTACGGCAATCTCTTTGCGCAGGACGCAACTGTCTATTGCAGAGTGCTTCGTGTGGACGGTTGACCTTTCTGGTAGACAGACTTGTTGACTTTTATGCAAAGGATTTCTTTTCTATGCCTATCTACGATCTCTTCCATAGATTTTTGTAGAAAAGATATTATTCTAATGGGTTAGTATAATTTAGCTATTCCGCACTACCTTGGGTATATACCAGACCTTAGCTTCCTGCGATTATAGCGTCAGGGATCCCAACGTATTACATGCCTTGAAGCGTGTGGGAAGTCTCTTTTGAAGATCGGCTGCGATGATCCCATTGGTCTCAGGTGATTTGACAAGCTCGGTAGCATATATATCCCATCTTATTCTATCCCTTTTATGCCTGTAATATTAATTTTATGCCAATCGTTACATGTGCACCTTTTAAAGAGTTGGTAACAGGGTTTCTATTTTAAAACGGATAAGCTGATGGTCTGACACTTCTCTTAACATACTCCATTGGGCTTGGTGTGAGATTATCTTACCTAGTAACTTACTCTTAGAAAAGCTATTATATTTTAAGTAAACCGCCGAAATGTTTCGGAAAAATATTAAGTTTTACGCTAGTTTCACCGTTTCAATTTGACGGCCAAAAATATAATTTTTTGTACATAAATTTAATTATTTTTTAAAAAATGTTTTCCAAAAAGTCACCCCAGATGATAGATAAGTTTAAGCTTAAAAGGTTTGAAAAAAAATGTTCTTAAAACTTCATCAACAGAATCGAAACAATGAGATTTTTTAGGTATTTTCTAATCGGTCCAGCTCACGTATATCTTAATATTTTTTCGAAATGTTTTGGCGGAAGTGTTAAAAAATAATAAAAACTTTGTTTTACCGATGGAAAACCGCAAAATTTTTGATAACTGTAACAATGGCAATTCGGATAGCCAGATCGATATATGTATATCGATGACGAGAATAATACAATATTTGATCGATAAAAAAATAAATTAGCGATAATTATAAATAAACCAATAATGAAATCTTTCTCACCTGAACGTGATCTTATTTATGCATTATATTTCAGAACCTCGAGGAACAACTGGCAAAACTAACAGCTGACTTCGAACAGGCCACTGCTGATAAGTTACGCTGTCAACAGGAAGCTGATGCAACGCAAGCCACAATTGCGCTCGCCAATCGGCTGGTTAATGGGTTAGCTAGCGAGAATGTGCGCTGGGCCGAAGCGGTGAATAGGTGAGTAGCGCTCGTCTTCTCTTTTAAAGAAGAAATGAAACTTATGAAAAAGAGATTCCTCCTTCTGTTTTTGATGTCGTGTAATAAATAATTTATTTTCCTCTTCCTTAAAGCTTTGTGAAACAAGGCATTACCTTGCCCGGCGACATTCTGCTCATTACCGCCTTCATCTCATATGTGGGCTGCTTTACCAAACAGTTTCGCATTGATCTATTGCAAAAGATGTGGACACCATTTTTGAAAAGCATCGATCCACCCATACCAACTACTGAGAATTTAGATCCACTCTCATTGCTAACAGACGATACTACAATTGCCATATGGACCAATGAGGGTTTGCCAAGCGACCGTATGTCCATTGAGAATGCTACGATCCTGTCGAATTCGGATCGTTGGCCGCTAATGATCGATCCACAGGTGACTGATTTGCTTCCAAAAATATATATGCAAATGTATGTGTAATTTGTTTTATTCTATTCTAAATATATTTCAGCTTCAAGGCGTCAAGTGGATTAAACAAAAATATGGTGAAGAATTAAAAGTGATACGTTTGGGTCAACGCAGCTACTTGGATATTATAGAATTAGCTATAACTAAGGGGTGCATAGTGCTTATCGAAAATATAGATGAGAACTTGGATCCAGTGCTGGATTCACTGCTTGGCAGAAATCTAATAAAGAAGGGCAAGTGAGTATGAGTTTGGGTTGGAGTGGGTCGGCTCCGCATATGGTAAATTTCTCTCTTCGAAGGGCCATCAAAATTGGTGATAAGGAAATCGAGTATAACTCAAACTTCCGCTTAATATTGCACACAAAATTAGCAAACCCCCATTACAAGCCAGAAATGCAGGCTCAAAGTACTTTGATTAACTTTACCGTCACACGCGATGGTCTGGAGGATCAATTGTTGGCCGAAGTTGTGAAGGCAGAACGTCCTGATCTGGAAGAACTTAAAGTAAATTGATGTATAGCAATTAAAAATGAATAAAATATAAACTTTTCTTCTAAATTTTTAGGCCGAATTAACAAAGCAACAAAATGATTTCAAAATTATGCTGAAAAAACTTGAAGATGATCTGCTTTCAAGATTATCTTCAGCAGGTGAAAATATTTTGGGTGATACAGCGCTCGTGGAAAATTTAGAAACCACTAAGAGTACAGCATCTGAAATTGAGCAGAAGGTATGTAAGGATTAAAGTAAGAAGACTTTTTATAACTCCGATCGCGTTTAAAAATTTTAAACCTTAAAATTTCTGTTTTGATTTTTACGATAAACTAACTCACTTTCTGCTTCTTTAAAGTATGTACTTCTCTTTCTATCCAATCATTTTAGGTAGCTGAAGCTAAGATAACTTCAAAGGAAATCGATAAGGCTCGCGAATATTATCGTCCAGCAGCGGCTAGAGCAAGTTTACTCTACTTCATACTAAACGAACTGAATACAATTAATCCAATTTATCAATTCTCGCTTAAGGTAAGACGCAATAAATACCCTATCCAATATATCCTCTGCCTTTGTAATAATGCTAATCGGTGCTATCCTTAAGGCAAGGAAACCATACACATTTCTTTCGAAGCGAAGTACGTATGGTCAGGGCCGTAGGCAGGATTTTACAATTTTATTTCAACATATTTTGATTAAAGGAAAAATACTGATAAAAATAAAATATTTCACACAAACAACAAAAAATATAATCAATAATCGCATGAGGCTATTGCCTGAAAATTTCAAAATGCACTTGTGGCATTGTGCTAGCATGGTAGCACGGCCCAGTAATCACGTGGACCGAAAATGCACTTTTTTTGAATTTTGATTGATAATAGCAAAAATATGGTTCATTTTGCTCTAAAAACAATCTGTG